CACAAAAGCAACGAACTACAAAAAATCTAACATGTTTACAACTAGAAAGGAAAGGAAACAGGGGAAGGTAAGAGTTAATGAGTGTGGCTTAGTTCTACTTTTTTCTGGGAAGTCATCTTCTTACTTCACCAAGTGGCAATTGGATTCAGCTTCCTGCTGATGCTCCATTTTTCTACCCTAATTATAGACTAAGCTAACTCTAATTCTTCATTCTTCTCGATCCTTTGCTGATGATGATTTTCTTGCTTTTATAGAGGCTGGAATGGGAAAGCTTCCTTAGCTTTATTGATCTTCACTTTATGAAAGCAGTCAAAATTAATTTCCTTGATTTAGGGAAGACCCCTGCTTTCCCATTCTTCCTTTATTCTTCTTATCAACTTTAGAGGAGTTGATTATTTTATTAATCAATATGTGGTTCACCATCTACCTTTAAAATCAACAACATCACTTCATCTCCATGCTTCCATCCTTCTTTAGCCCTAGAGGTTCTCTTGCTTCTTTACCTTCACGCTCTTGTTGCCGCCAAATTCTTCATCACGAGAATTTGCACACTAAATCCAAGTGAGCCATTTTCAATTCTGCCCCAGAGTTTACCATTTGCACCTTTTTATCAACAATTTTCTAGGTCTTACATTTAAGTCCCTTTGTCACCAAAAATCACAAAAATATATTAGAACTAACTAATTCCTAATATTTTAAACTAAAACACAAGTACAAAAAGGCAAATATGCTTGATAAAACATATATAAGTTGACTCCCAACATTCCCTATATGCTATGGCTTTCACCATAAACAAACCTTCCTTCATCTCCTCTTATCACATCCCTAAAAATAGAGAGTCTGGGGCAGATAAGAGATGATCCATCTGTATTAAGAATATAAGAGTTTATTGGTTGGGGATTCCAATAAACCATGTTACAAACAAAAACAAAGAATTTATAATTTTTTTTGTAAAGCTCATATCTATGATTACCTCATTTCACAGTTAAAAAAAATCAAGGGACAGTAATTTATTTTTAAAAAAATATGACAATTTTTTTAAAAATAAAATTATGCAATGGAAGTAATGAAACTAGTATTGTTGACTGCAAGGAAATTTACGATTACATATTAGTCGATGAAAACTATCCTTTGAACCTTAAAAAAACACCCAATCTAATTCTAATACTTGATAATTTAAGACAAAGTTTATAAGCATTTTACAAATAGATAAACAATAGATAATTTGTCGAATTTCCAATGTTCTATTGCACAAATTCATTGTTAATTTCACATCATATAACATGATATTATTCAAAACAATATCTATCATACAATTTTTTATCAAGTGCAATTACTTATCGGCAATGAAAAAGTTTTAGTTAGAATCCATATATGTGTGTGTCTGTGTCAAAATGTTGATTTACCATTCTCAATCATTCTTTTAATATAAAACGCGTGTGAGATTGTTGGTAGATGGAAGGAGATCTATGAAAATAGAAAAGTTATTAATTTTTAATATCAAAATTGATTATAAAATCTCATCATTTAACAAATGACGGAGTACTTTTATTAAACAGCTGTCAGTGTAATTTACAGATTATTATAAGTAAACAGTTTAATATCATTTTATTACTTTCCAAATTATTTTCTTGTCTATAGAGGAAATTTTAGGACTAAGAAATTCTGCACATGATTGGATTTTTCTATAAATTAGTAGATTTACCTACAATAGTTCATTGCGTTTTCTAGCCTTTTCTTCTTTTGAAATCATAATGGAGAGAAACCTCACCAGGGGTCGTCAAAGAATTGAAATGAAAAGGATAGAAAATGACGATCATAGGTATGCAAGTTTTTCCAAACGAAAGATTGGGGCTTTCAAAAAAGCTAGCGAGTTATGCATTGAGTGCAAAGCAGATGTCGGGGTGATAATTTTTTCTCCGACGGAAAAGACACATTCTTTCTTTAGCCCTAATATCGGCAAAATTGTTTCCCATTGCTTTGGGGAAAACCAAGATCCCAACGCCACACACCCACTTCTTCAGGAGCAAGAGAAAGCAAAAGCTGACAAGTTAAACCAGCAACTCGATGAGGTTGAAGCGCAAATGCAGATTGAAGTAGGAAAAACCCCGCAATTGAATGGAATGTATACAAAGAAAGATGAAAGCGGCTCATTGGGGGTACCAGAGGAAGGATTTGATAGCATGGAGAAAAATGTTCAACTGAAGATGAAACTGGCTGATTTCATAGTTCAATTGGCTAATCATTCCAAAATTATGAAAGATTGAGATAAAACATAAAGGTGGCTTCAAAATCAAACATCATTTCTCCAAATGTTTTGGAAAATTTCCGTTTTTATGTTTCGTAACACCAATAAAGAAAGCAGATGATCATATCATTTTTGTTTTCAGACTAATAAAATTTCTATCTCTCTAATTAGTGAAATTTTTTGCTTACGTTATACGCTCCAAATTAACAAATTTCATCCAATCATATTAGCATCAAAATCAAATCTCAATTGACTGAAGGACTTCCTCTTACTGTATTCTTGAACATGACATAAACTATAATTTATCTTGATGTAGCACAATAATCACTTATGCCAAAGCATTATTCACATAATTAGGAGGCTATGGAAAAAATAAAATAAAATTCTAAGTTAAAGGCCCTACTTTTTTTTTCAAAAGAAAAAAGCAAGAATAGCAAATTGGATTTCTCAATCCAAATTTTTATAAAACATTAAATTGTCGAAGTATATCATTTTTTTGTGAAAAAATTGTGGAAATGGTCAGAAGGTGAATAGTTAGAACCGGGTTTGTGAATTTCTACCAAAATATTCACATAATAGTGTATTTTAAAAAAATAAAAAGTATTTTGGATGTCCTAAATCTGGTATATGACAAAATGCTGGAAAATTTTGAGAAAAAGTAAAAAAATGGCAAATCCTATATAAGAAAATCAGATATATGAAATATGATAGTATTATAGTTTGGTTGGTGAGGTGAAAATCTACAATGAATTGGACGATGAAAGAAGGGAACCCATAAAATCAATATAGTTTAGAGTCTGATTCAAATTTTATTTCGCTCAGTATCACTCTGCATTTATTAACTTTGATTTAAGAAATCTGATATTTGTCGAAGTATAAAATGGAAAGAAGAAATTAGTATTAATAAAATTAGAATTTTTCATTATAGGAGAATTCGGAGTGTTAGGGGCCAATTTGGTTATTTTATTAGCAAATTAGCGCATCATACGTCGCTATTCGATATGCCAAAGATGTTAGTAAATATTTTTGAGGTTACTTAATGTAGAATTGTTTTTCTGAAAAACGAGGGTTACACTTGGATTTTAGCATTAAGAATACTAGGTGTTAGACCCGTCCGTTAGACGGGGAGGACATACACATATAGACATTACAACACAAGCGAAGCGAAAAATATTAATATTTTTTATAAATTTTGCATTTTTATAAAATTTATAATGACATCATTGAAAAATATAAAACACAAAATCAATAACACTTTACCAATGAATACGGTGATAATTTATTTAATGCAAAGACGTCTGTTAAGAAATCCGAAAAAAAAAGAATCTAAAAAAAAAAGAATGGATTTTGAATTAAACGATTATATATCATGAATTGGGCTGTATTAGTTTCATTTGGGAAATTGACCAAAGCTTTTTGGCCCCTAATCTTGCGAGCCTCAGTATCATAAGTTCTAGCACCATCTTCAGCACTCTGAAAAATTCCAAGCCAAACTCGAACTCCTTTCCTCGGATCATGAATCTCGATAGCCCACTTACCCCAAGGACGCTGTCAGATTCCTCGGTATTGGTGTGGCGGCTTCCGCTTTCTTTTTCTCAATTTATCTCCTGCTTCATATCCACCATAGTCGGAAGACTTGCTTCCCTCAAGGAGAAAAAAACAAAAATAAGAATATCTTTCCAGTATGGTTTCTAAGTATAGACTAGTCTTTTGTTGTCGCGCGTTGCACGACCAGTCTATTTTAACATTTATTTACTCCATTGGACTTGATAGTGTAGAATAAAACGTAAAAGAGAACATGTATATATATATATTTTATCAAAGAAATATAATGGTAATAAATATTTTGTGTACGTTTATGGCAAAAATACATTAATATCTATGTAAAAAGGAGGAAAAAAAATTAGATTAAAATAACAAGAGCCACGTATGCCGTGATACAACTATTCGACGAGCTCAAAGACCTCTCTGTAAACGACGTTTCAAGTCTTGTTGTCGTCCTCTAACACCTCGTTCAACATAGGAGGCATTGCTAGAACCTTCACCCCCTTGGATGTCATCACTCTGGATAGGGCGCGTACTGTCCATGTGAAAACACCAACTCACGCACCGACATATTCGAGCGTCTGTGTCTCTATGACTCGTTGGTAATCATGGCGACGTAGAGCTTCATGGAAAGTTAGAACCTCTTGAACACAATCCCCTGTACGCCGATGTGGTTGCATTTGAGGTTAATCCTCTGTATGGACACGTTTTTACCTGTGTGTGGGCCGATGTACATTAGATAAACAGATTGGACTGAGTCCTTCGGTTGAGACTGATTTGCATATAGGATTGGGAATACACTATCAATTTTGTACATTTTAATTTTTTCCGATGGGATTAAGTTTCGAATGCATGGTTAACTCCTAACCTAAAGAATGATTTATAACATAATCACAACATAAGACACAAAACTATGAAGACAAACCAGTAGATTATTAAGACTTGAGAGTCATTATTCTCCTTTTCAAGCATTTCATACTTTTGGTCATGCTTTATTTTGAGTCATTATTCTCCTTTTCAAGCACTTCATACTTCTGGTCGTGCTTTATTTTTTCTAGATTATGCAGCTTCTCCTTCTCAACCTCTTCATATTTCCGGTCCTGCTTTACTTTTTCTATATTATGCAAATCTATTTGCTGGAGGAGCTGCTCCTTTACTTTTCTTTCTTCTTCAACTTCATCATTTTTCTTACTTATCTTTTCCTCAGTCAATCAACATCATTCTCCAAGCTCTCTAGCTTGGTGGTAAATACTTTTTTCTCCTTTTCAAAGCCGCTCGACTGTAGTTCATAGTCCATTATTTCTGCACCTTGTGATTCTATTTTTCTAAGAAGATTAGCTTCCACCACTCTTCCCTTCTCAACTTCCTGAGTTTCGTGTTTGAGTTCCTCTTGAAGTTCAGAATCTTTTAAACCATATCCTTAAATCTGCCTAGAAGTTCATCTGCCTTATATTTCGAACCTTCCAAAGGGTTCTTCCTTATCTACTACTATAGGTGCGTATGACTGAAGCACCAAAAAAAGTTCATTCTGCAAGTACGTTCCTGCATCGACAATCTTAATCTGGTTTGCTTTTTCTAATTTTAGTTCTTCTACTTCCTTTTTGTACTGGTCTCTAGTGTCCCAATATTTACCACTAAATTCATCAAACTTCTTGGTCTTGAATTCTATTATATCATCTTTAAGGTCGGTCGTCTTGTCCAATTTCCTCACTTTCGCTTGATAGTGCTTAATCCAATAATCCTTGCTATTTAAATCTTTCTGGAGTTTGCGGATCTCAGCAGGTGACAAGCCAATTTTATCAAACTCTCCCTCCCCAACTTCAGAACACTGATTTCTTGACAAAGTTGTTGCTTCTCCTGCTGAAGCTTTTCAATCTGAACCAAAAGATCCTCTTCTTTCTCGGTGAAATGATTTTCAACAGATTTTCTGGCCTCGGAGTAAAGTTTCTGAAGGGTTTTTGATTTGGCTTGAAAAGAAGGATACAACTAACTCAGAAGACATACTCAATCTGGGAAATCCTATCTATTGCTTTCCTGCACAGTCCCAGCCAGGATAGTACTAAGCCCAGATATATACTTAGACTCTATCTCATCAGGAGAACCAAGTTGTGGGAAGAAGTTCTTTAAGGACTCATGAGAACCATCCTAATCCACAACGAAAACAAGGAAGAGGTTTAGCGAAAATTCTGAGCTGTCCATGAGCTTCATCTCCAATAAGGGGATCCTCTTGGTTATGATGCTTCCGATCTTTTAAGAGAGCTGCACTGGTCAAAATGTTGTAGCCACTAATTGAGCTTTGCGATATATAAAATATGATGAGATGTACAAGAAGATGACAAAAAATCTCATGGATATGCACGCATATATAGATATACCTACCAATGTCAATGTAGCTTTGAACCAAAATAAAAATATTCTGAGAGCTAACTGACCTGTAAAACTCAAAAGACCACGGTCTACAAATCTTTATCAAATAAGAATATAGGGAATGCAAATTACCCTGATTCATGTATACCCACAACTCAAGAACTCAGATGAAAGAAATATATTTCTTTATTGAAAGGCAACATATCAGATGGAAGTAATGCCTACAGACTCGGACCAAATATTGCAGATGCTGTAGGAAATTGTGAATATCAAAAAAAATAAATTCTAATTTTCTAAAAATGTCCTAATCAACTCATACGGGAAAAATTCCAAACCCAGGGGACCACCAAATTTGGAGGAGCTTACCAGCAGCTACTATGATAAACTTGCCGTCGGGGTTAAATTTGGCGGTGGCGATGGCGTGTTTGAAGCTGATCCTGAGGAGCACCATGCGGTGGCGCGGGTTATGAAGAGGTAGCGGTTGTTGTCATCGATGGCGAGGAGAAAGATGCCATCCGACAAATTCACAGAATCTGCTTAAAACCCACCACCTGGTTGTCCCCGTGAGAAGCCCTCCATCTGCTTAAAAAGGGCGCAATCCACAAAATCTAAACCAAAAATATTAAAGAAGAATCTTTTGGAATTACAATAGCGATTAATAACTGTAAAAGTTCATAGCACATATGGAAAAAAAATGATGTTGCACAAAAACAGAACAACCCAAATAATTGAACAGTTTCTGTACATTAGTGAATAAAAAAGAACGGCCAAATAAGTTTTTTAATCAAAAGAAGCTTACAATAATAGCTGAATCGATGGGAAAGCTACCTTAATGGACCGGAGAAGAAATGAAAGAAGAGGTGTTGGATGAAGTTTGCTGCAACTGGTAGTCTGAGTTTATTCGGTATTGTTAATCTGGCTTATTCGTGCATAAGAGACTTCAGCTTGAAGGAGAAGAGCCCAACTCACAGATTTCCAATCCGTATACAAATTCAGAGAATTTTCGATTTGAATTCCAAACCTAGATTCATAAATTTCGATTTGCATTCCAAATCTATATTCATTGAACGAATTTCCTAATTCTGACGCCGCTCCCAAATTCAATTACTTGGAAAACTCGGCGATTGTTTTCTTCTGGTTCAGAGGAAGTTCAATTTTAGTGAAGATGGTTGCCAGTAATGCCATCTTGTGCTGACTTAATTTAATGTTCGACAACTGATGCCGTTGTTCTCCTTCGGTAGTTCGACACAATGGATCTGATGTCGAATGTGGTTTCTGTGGTAATAAGGAAGTCGATGAACAGTGATGGGTGGCAGTATAGGTGGAGAAAGCATTGTGTCTTATGGGGTTTTTTTTTTTTTTGGAGAGAAAGATGAGGTGAACGTCGAGTTTTTTTGGGTGGCAGTGGAGGCGGAGCCTTTTGGGTTTTTCTTTTCTAATATTTCTGGGTGAGGCAGATGAGGTGGACGACGAGGGTAAAATGGGGGATTTTGTTTTGATTAGTAAGAAGTATAGAATGATGTCGTTTTGTTGGTTGGGTTTTTTCACCAAAATCTAACAGAGAAATAAAAAATGACGTCGTTTTGGAGAATTAGGGTTTTGTTCTCAAAGCTTACGGATTTTTTATTTTTTATTTTTATTTTTAGATTGGGATGTATTTATGATTTTTTTTCATTAGTAAAAATCAATTTATAAATTCCCGTTTTTAACCCCAATAAGTCGCTCACATCATATCGTGCATATCCAACGGATGAGATCTATTTAACGGGGAGCCTCAAATATTTTTTGGGCATTATTTCTTACCTACTGTGCCTTTTATTTAAGTATAAGGACAAAAACACATTAAGTCATGAGTCATGAAACTGAAAATCATCTGAATTAATTAAATTGATTATAACACACCAATCAAATTTAATAAACAAACCTGAGAATATAGCGCATGATTATCAAATGTTATAGCTCTTCTCCTCGCTGTGGTGTGGGCACTCCTCGACTTTAGTTTTGACCGTCATTGCTGCTTATCCCCAGAATCTCTCTTCGGTTTTGAATTCATAATTAAAGCAATGCGATTTTCCATTGATTTTGAGAGATTTAATTGTTGTAACTGACCTTGATTTTATAGTTCAGTTATATCTCGAATTTAACTAAACTAAGGCCTTCCACCATTTAAGATATAGTTCAGTTATATGCGGTTTCCTCTTGTTCCATTTTTTTCCCCAAAATTAAAGATAAAAAATGTGTTCCTATAAGCAAACTGTGCTTATTAAAAAAGAGTTCAGTTAAGCAAACTCCAATGAATTGTAAGCATAAAACTAACGTTATAATATTCACCAATCAGGTTGATGAGCAATTCGTGGACATGGTAGCGCTAGAGAATTTGCTGGCTATTTCTAATTAGAAAAAAAATCGAGAGAATATAATTACTTCTAAGAATAGGGAAAAGAATTACCTGAGAGTTACAGAAACGTTACCGTGAAAGTTGAATCGTGGGAGAGAACAATAGAAGACCGCAGTTTAGTTCCATATGCTAGCAGCACCATAGAATACAGTTTTCTATGTCCGATGAGCAAATAAACCTTTGTACTATGCCGGATTCATCAATCCTAAGCTGTGAGACCTGGGACTTAAATGCAAACATTTTTCAGATTAGGACGTCATAAGAGAAACCTATCAAAAGTCATTAATCCGTCCAGCCACCCTTTGCACTATCGTAATTGTGCACGACAGAAGGTATTTTTGTTAGCATTCCAGTCCTCTTCGCTCAAATTAAATGTTTGATCAATGATGTCTTTTTGATCTCGAACTACTATTCATTCTTCTTCAAGCCCACCGACTTGGTAGTCGGTAGCCTTTGTTTTGCGGGATTTAGCCGTTCTTGGGTCCCCATCTTCTTGTAGCCACGTGCAGACAGAAAGACCCAGAAACATAGATCCTTGCCGGGTGTTATTGGATACGAAGCAGTCCTTAGAAAAGTTTCTCTGTGATTTGATATAACTGAGCAAGCATTTTCATACTTTGCAACAATTGAGTCATTAGGAACTTATAAATATCTTGGAGTCGAATTTAGTTATGAAGGAAATTGATGTTTACCTTAGAGAATCAGTGAGAAGAGTGCAGAGTGCAGAGTGCAGATTTGATTTTTCTAATTCATACGGACTGAGGAAGAAGAAAGGAGCGGAGGAGGGAGGGAGGGAGGGAGGACTGAGGAACAGAGTGCAGATTTTGATTTTTCTGATTCATACGGAGAGGATTCATGGAGGATTTTTAGGGAGTTATTAGTTGATAAGAATATGCTGGTTTGAGATTAAGATGATAAGGTTAAGTCCATTTCTCTTGTTATCTTCGTCCAAATTGTTTAAAACGAAGAAAAGTACCGACGATCAAGGAGGAAGAGATAATGAGTGTTTGGATTTGCAGGGATTTGGTTTATTAAAATAAGGGTTCGGATTTAGTCAATTCAGTTGCGTTTTTTTTTATTGGTTTTTATTGTTTTGTTTTGTGCATTTTTAAATCTAAAATACTAAGAAAATGCCATATAAGATAAAATTCTATGTGGCATGTGCTCCATGATTTTAGATTTCTCTTTATGGTTTTTTCCTTATTATAGTATACAGACAGATAGATATAGATATTATTGAGAAACGAATTAAGCGGTAATGCTAAGAAATGGGGGTGCTTGACTTTTGGGTGAGTCAGACCCAAAATTGTGGAATAAAAAATGTGTAGGGTTTAAAAACTGGATAAATATAATATTCTCACGCTTTCAAAACGTGAAACAAGAAAAATAAATTAACAATTCGCGTTTGTGAAACGCGATTCCTTTTAACTATCTTTTCCCAAAATTCAACCGGGACGAAACAAAAAAAAATGAATTAAAAAAGGAAAACCATTTTTCGCGTTTTGGAAACGCAAAAAATATAAATCACGTTTCAGAAACGCGAAAAACTATTTTCGAGTTTTAAAAATGCAAAAAGCTATAAATTTTAAATTTTAAATAAATTGCGGTTTGAAAATAACAATTTAGCGTTTTGAAAACGCGAAAAAAAATTTCTAGCATTATGAAAGCGCGAAAAATGATTTTAGCGTTTTAAAAACGCGAAAATATCCAGAAAATCTCCTCATTCACTCATTCACCTCCACGTGTATTTTGATGATAAGTCTTGAATGCATTCGCGTTTTGTAAACGCAAAATTCAAGATTCACATACCAAACCAAGTAAAATAACAACATTTCTTCCTGAACTTTTTTCATTCTGTTGAGCTGCGATTTTTCTTCCCAAACTTCTTTCATTCTGTTGAGCTCCGATTTTAAGTTTCACTCCGGAGGACTTGGCTGAATCCGTGAAAGCTCTCATTTCCTTGAAATTGAGAAGTTGCTCCGAAGTTAAAGAAGATTGATTTGAGTCATGAAGCCTATTTAAAACCCTAAGTTTCAACATTCAGGTAAGTTTATTTCGGTATAGAAAACATGTACTTTTTTATGCCTTATTGTGAGCATAGGATGATTTACACATTATTATTAGTTAATAAATAATTGTGATTTAGTCAATTAACGGTGGTTTTTTAATTAGGCTGATAAAGTGAATTGAAAGAAATATTAGTTGATAGAATGTCAAATTAGATGAGCGTTGTAAATTATTGTATATCGATTTCTGTAAAATAAAATAAAATTATAATAATGATATTGAATTTTTGAATATTTTTAGCATAAGAATAAATTATGTAATTCGGGCATAAGGTTTAGATTTAATATTAATTTTTAGCATAGAAATGAATTTGTAAATTCAGGCGTATAGTTGTTCTTTTGAAACTATTAAATCTGTAAATAGGGTAAATATTGTTTTCGCAAAACTAAAATTCAAAATGTATTCTAGTGTTCTGACTTCGTAGGAATTGATTTTGCAGGCCGTAAATGTCTTTCACGGAGACAGTTCGTCTGAAAGTATACTGGAATACTACTTATACAACTGAACCTGATGGGACTATCACGGTACAGCGGGATGCGCAGACGGTTATCTTATCATTGATCGTATGTTAGATTTCTCGGAACTTGTTGATAAGGTATGTGGTGTGATGGAAGTTGATAGAGAAGGGCTGTATATTGATTTTTCTTTGGTATGGACGGAGAGGTCAGGAAAAAGGTCTCGTGTGCACATTAATGATGATAATACTGTTCGGTTCATTTATCTTTGTGCTGATAAATGGCCAGAATTGTACCCTGAAAATGTTGAGAGAATAGGCCATGTTTATGCAAGTACATCTAGCCAGGATATTGGTGTCAGCACTAGTGGTGGTAGAACAGTTGAAGACAATGAAGATGAAGATGGAGATGAAGATGAAGATAAAGATGAAGATGAAGATGAAGATGGCGGGGGTGTCGAAAGCAGTGATGATGAGTACGTCCCATCGGATGAGGACTCAGATGACGACACTGATTTTGAGTTATCTTCTTCAGTCCCATATGTTTTCGACGACATCAGTAGATGGGACAAGACTTTAGAGGAAGTAGATAGTGATGGGATTAAAATGTGGGATGGCAATCCGTTCATGCTAGGCCTTGATGTACATTTCGCCAACAAGCCTGAGGCACAAGCGGTAGTGGGAGAATGGAACTTGGTATATGGTCGGACTTTCCCAGTGAAAACGAGCTCTAAATGAACATGGTATGTCGAGTGCGAGACCTGTGGACCCAAATATCCGAAAGAGCGTCTTCACGGCTATGATTGCCTGTGGAAGGCCCAAGTTTCGCTACAGAAGGCCACCGGTACTTGGAAAATGGTGGTATGGTCCGATTCCCACAACTATCTTGGGGCAAACAAGAGAAACGAGTCCCGAAACGTCACGTCTTCTATGATTGCTAGACTGGTTGCCCAAAATGTGCGAAAACATCCAGATTTTGCAGTTGCCCAAATTCAAATAGAAGTTTTGAAGAGGTACCAAGTCGAATGTAGCTACAAGAAGGCATGGCATGGTAGAAGAAAAGCACTTGAAGCTCTATATGGTACATGGGAAAGTAATTTTCAACAACTGCCCAGCTTCCTTGATGCATTGTTCATGTCAAACCCGGACACCTGTGTGCAATTCAAGTTTAAGGAAAATTTAGGAAGCTCGCAAAGGTTTGTATGTAGGTATGTTTTCTGGGCATTTGGGCCATCTATACAGTTATTTCATGCTTGCTGGCCAGTAATAACCATTGATGCCACTCACCAGCGAGGATCCTACAAAGGAAAACTAATTGTGGCATGCGTGAAGTGCGCAAATGGCACAATTGTTCCCATCGCATTTGCTCTTGTGGACGAAGAGACCATACACAGCTGGAAATGGTTCTTGAAGTATTTTGAAAATTTTTGTTCTATAGGATAGGAAGACCTGTATTATCTCTAATCAAAATCAGGGTATCCTTACTGCCATGAACATCATGTTGCAAAAATTTCCAGAGATGGGAGTCCACCGGTATTGTCTAGAGCATGTTAAAGAAAACTTGGTTGGGCATTTTGGAAAGGAGAAACTGGGAGACAACTGTCAAATGATTGGTTTAGCGACGCAAAAGACAAGGTATTTGGCAGAGTGGCAAAAATTAGAAGAAAAAAATGAGGCTGCAGCTCGTTGGCTTCAGAAGCTGGGTGGGCGTGATTGTCTCTTGCCCCCCACGCCCACGCTGAGACCTGCGCTAACGCCTCGGAGATCTGGGTGGTAGATGTTGCTGGGTCGGGTCTACAGGTGCAAGTTCTTGACTCAAAATGTCATGAACCTCAACATGCCTATCGAGATCGTGACGTACAACATTTGTTGCATTGACGGACAATGCCCGCTCAGCAACCTGGGCAATCTCGCCTAAGCGATCATAACCAAAGGAGTCAATCACGCCCATTATGTATTATAGGCCAGCGTACTTTCGACACGAACTCCTTTGGTTATGATTGCTTAGGCGAGATTGCCCAGGTTGCTGAGCGGGCGTTGTCCGTCAATGCAACGAATATTGTACGTCACGATCTCGATAGGCATGTTGAGGTTAATGACATTTTGAGTCAAGAACTTGCACATGTAGACCCGACCCAGCAACATCCACCACCCAGACCTCCGAGGCATTTGCGCAGGTCCCAGCGTGGGCGTGGGGGGCAAGAAACAATCACGCCCACTCAGACACATCAGTCCTCCCAGCATCAGCAGTCTCATATCCCCTTCACTGACGGTTCATCCCATCAGTCTCTACATTAGTCTCCACACCATTCTCTACAGCATTCATCCCATCAGTCTCCACATCATTCTCCACATCATTCATTCCATCAGTCTCCACATCATTCTTCGCTGACCCAACAGGCGTTTTACCGTCCCATTATGTCTCCCCAGCACCAGCAGTCCCATTTTGCCTTCACTCAGTTTTCCTCCCCTCTGACTTCTCAGCCTCAATTTGGAGATGCTTTTATTGACTTTTCTGGGTTCCAGCAGAGTTCGCTAGATGGTCAGTCGATACATTACACGAGTAACTTTCTTTCGAGTATGTTCGAGGGTGTTGCGGGTCAGCATCAGGCTGATGACCTAGCTGGAGGTGAGCGTGAGAGTCAGGGTGAAGATGAGGCTGAGGATGCAGACCGAATGATCAGTTTTAGGCTCAGGGTTATCAGCGCCATGAGGAGCGGGGATCGAGTCAGACTCTAGGGACTCCACCGTTGGCTGTGAGTAAAGGTCAGAGAGTAACGAAGGAGCCCGATAGATTGACTTATAGCCATTTTCGGGCTAAAAAGCCGAAGAAGAAGTAGTGTAGACTTTTTATGTAGTATTATTAGACTTGTATTTTTTTTTTCCTTTTGTTCATTTATGTTTTTTTTCCTTTTGTTATGACTTGTTTTATTTTTTTCCCTTTTGTTATGACTTGTAGTATTTTGTTATGACTTGTATTAATATTCTTAATAGTTTGATTTCACTTGCATCGTTGCTACTTTATTAATATTTATCAAACACATCTTCGTCGATCAAATTTAACCACATCTTCAAACTTTCTTTTTTTTTTAATAATTAATAGTTGCTTCATCTTTTTTTTAAAAAAAAAACAACAAAGTATTTAGTTTATCCAAACAAAAGATGTAATTCTTAGCTCTTACATACCAACCGTCTATTAAAATTACCACATCCACAAAAGAATAGTACCAGATACCTAAAACAAACATTCAGTAAACTAAAGTTCTCTTCAAAATTAAGATGCGGTGCATTAAACAATCGCATTGGCAGCACTTGCAATCCTAGGCCAAAGATCATCACACTCCTTTCCAAGGGGACCACTGATTGCAGAACCTTTCATTTTTCCCTTGGGATTAACAATCACTCCAGCATTATCTTCAAAGTACATGTAGACACCGTCCTTTCGGCTCCATGGCTTGCGCTGGCGGACAATGACTGCGAGCATGACCTTCTTTCTAACTAAGATTGGGCTTACCCTTCTTGACGGTGGCCATAACCATGTCACCGACGCAATCAAAAGGGAGACGATTGAGCCTACCCTGCATTCCCTTCACTGAAATGATGTAAAGGTTCTTTACCTCGGTGTTGTCGGTGCAATTCACCGTCGCAGCCATTGGAAGACCCAAAGACATCCTGAACTTGTTACCCGCCGATCCTCCGCATGCTCGCTTTGACATTTTTGCTGTCTCCCCTATGAGGTTTCCGAAGAAGAGATAATAATTGCTTCATCTTAAGCGTTGGTAAATTATAATAAATATTTAATAAAATTTATTCATATTTTAAGCTTTTTTCTTATATTGAAACCGTCATAATTAATAAAAATAATTTGTAAATTAAATTACATCTAATTAAATCCATAAAATTACGTCATTTATCATTATTGAAAATTTTTCATAAAAAATTATTTTATAAAATAATGATTACATTTTTAATATAATTTTTTAAAATTTAATATAATTTTTTAATATAATCATTATTAAATTTTTTATATAATGTTTTAAAAATTTAATACATTATAATAACTATATCATACTTTTAATAATTTATATTTAGTATAGCTCTATTTAATTTAATGAGTACCAATTATAATATTATATTCTTATTCAAAATTTAATTTTTCTATTATTAAAATTATCAATATAATTTTCCTCTTTATAGCTCTATTCAAAATTTAATGATTACCAATTATAATTTTAAAATTTTGTGGTACCATTATTCAAATTTAATAATTTTTTGAAGTAAATTTCCCTATAACTTTTTAAACTAGGCAAATTAATCACATTTTTATGATATTTCCTTTTTTTATTTAAATAAAATATTCTTTTTATTTTTTTCGCGCTTTGAAAATGCGAATCTTTATTTAATTAATTTTTTTACTATTAATTAATTACGATTTCTTATTTTTAGCGTTTCTGAAACGCGAAAACTAAGTTTTAGCATTTTCAAAATGCGAAATTATATTTTTAGCGTTTTCAAAACCCGATTTTTATTATTTTCGCGTGTTTGAAGCGCGAAAGAATTATTTTTGTCCACAATTAAAACCCTAGATCTAGTTTGTTCTTCATAATCTTTTTGAGATATGTATAAGTAAATTCTCCTAAGAAATGGGCTCGACCTTTTCATTATGTAAATTCAATCATATGAAAGAAGAATTTCGTGAATTCAATGCTGCAACTCGTCAGTATTTCGGGATATTGACAAATGAATAAAATACTATGTTTGTACGCAATCGCCATTTGCTGCACTATAGGTGATTCACCAGTCAACTTGTACGATAATCATTTCATTGTTAAGCTGGCATGACGTGACCAATTTCTTCATGCGAGTTTTACACATGTCCTCAATGTGAGACAGTAGCTGAGTGTTAATTGGAATCTCGTTTCTGATTTTAGCCGATTCATTTCGCATGTTGGACCGTGTCAGAAGTAGAAAAAGAGATTCCTTGATCAAATGAATTACAAGGGACGCCAAAGATGAGACCATTATATCATATGTAGTAGTACAGATCAATTAGCCACTGCATGTCCTGTCTCGCACCCAAGAGTTCATAGAATCAACATGAATGATAATATAAACTTAGTAGGAAATGTTATTTATGATGTATCGGTGAAGAATAATAGATTGTATTTATGTTGTATTGTATCTATTTATGTTGTATTTATAAAGTAAAAGTTATGAACCAAATTCTTATTTTGTATTTATCTACAAAATACTAGATTTAATTTTTGTTGATATTGCTGTTTAAAAAAATGTTGTTGTTGGATGGGTCCCCCCGTCCCCACCACCACCCGGTTACATAGAACCCACTCCAATCCAACGTCCCTTAGTTTATGATTTTAGTTCGGATTTTGTTGTTGGTTTAGGTGTTTGGTTAACAACTTTCGGGTTTTTGTTTTTGGTTTTGGATTAAAACTATATATGTGGATTTTTTTTTTTTATGGAATTGGTGGTATTGTTAGTAATAGTATTAAAATTGTTTGATTGTTGGATCCAGAATTGTTGAATTTTGGCAGTTTTGTTATTAGAAAATCTATAATTTTACATTACATTTAATTCTTATTATTATGGGATATTGTTGGTTGGTGATGTAATATATGTATGGGTTTTCGAATTCATCTACAAAAATTAATTCAATTGTCGTGTGCTACTATTGTCAAGGGAATGAGCACTTTAAGTGGGAGTGCAGGGTTCTAAAGAGAGAACTAGCAGTAAGAAAAGGTAAAGGAAAGAAGGATGAATTAAGTGATGATGACACTACTGCAGTAGTAACTACAAGTGATGTATTTGTGTACTGTGATAATGATACAATTAATGTTGCGAGTCACGACAGTGATTGGTTCGGGGATTCAGGTGCGTCTTATCATGTGACGCCTCACAGACACTTCTTTATCTCTTACACACCTGGAGACTTTGGTCGTGTAAGAATGTGCAATCAAGCCTCATGCGATGTTGTCGGTATGGGAGAGGTATCATTGGTAACAAATACATGTACTCTTGTCTTGAAGAATGTCAGACATGTTCCGGATATGCGTCTGAACTTTATTTTCATTGGAAAACTTGATGATGAGGGTTATCATAACACTGAAGGTGGTGGCCGTTGGACAATTACCAGAGGGAATCTTGTTATTGCTAGAGGAAAGAAGTTGAACTCTTTGTATGTGTTGAATACAAAGTTGAAGAATGGAGAGGTGAATGCTACTCACAATCCCTCCATTGATCTCTGGCACAGAAGGCTTGGACATATTAGTGTCAAGGGGCTCCAGGTTTTCGGTTAGAAGCAAGTTCTCTCTGAGGTGAAAGGTACTGCTCTAGAACCTTGCGTTGACTGTATCTATGGTAAACAGCATAGGGTTTCCTTTCAAAATTCTCCTCCATCTAGAAAGTCCAGTCCTCTAGAGTTAGTTCATACAGATGTATGTTACATGAAAGATAGGTTGTTGGGTGGAGCATTGTACTTTGTTACTTTCATTGATGACTATGCTCGAAAGGTTCGGTGTTTTTCTTTGAAATCTAAAGATCAGGTATTAGATGTGTTCAAAGACTTTCACTTTAGAGTTGAACGAGAGACTGGCAAGAAGTTGAAGTATGTTCGAGCAGATAATGGTGGTGAGTACAGAGGTCCGTTTGAGAAGTATTGCCGAGACCATGGCATTAAACTTCAGAAGAGTGTTCCGAAGACTCCGCAACAGAATGGCGTGGCAGAAAGAATGAACAGAACTATTACCGAAAAGGTTAGGTGTATACTCTTGAATGCAAAGTTGCCTAAATCTTTTTGTGGTGAAGCATGCAGACAGCAGTTGATTCGATCAACCTATCTCCATCATTACCGTTGGATGATCTACCACAACGAGTTTGGACAGGGAAAGATGTCTCATTTGGACATTTGCGAGTTTTTGGTTGTCGTGCCTTTCTTCATATTCCCAAAGACTAAAGGTCGAAACTTGATGGAAAATCCAAGCAGTGTATATTTTTGGGGTATGGCAATGATGATTTTGGGTCCAGACTTTGGGATCCTTTAGAGAAGAAAGTTTTCAGAAGTAGAGATGTGATCTTCTTTGGAGATCAGACCATTGATGATATGGGAAAGGGCGAGATGCCAGAATCTTCACCTGAGATCCTGTTGATCTAGATCTAGCTCCTCCACAATCAGATGATTCTCCTGAAGGGGAAGCTGAGACAGAGCAGAATGGTGAGTTTGATGATGATCCTACTTCTGGAACAGAGACACCACCGGTTTCATCACCTCCTATCCAGCCAAGGAGGTCCACCAGAGACAAGAAACCTTCCACCAAGTACAGTGCTCATGAGTATTTGTTGCTTACTAATGGGGGAGAACCAGAGTCGTATGAAGAGATTCTTAGTCATGAGTAGAAAGATCAGTGGTTAGCAACCATGCAAGATGAGATCAAATCCTTGCATGAGAATAACACGTATGACCTGGTGAAGCTGCCTAAGAGCAAGAGAGCACTCAATAATAAATGAGTGTTCAGACTGAAGACAAGTGAGAACAGCTCACAACCGAGGTACAAAGCTAGATTAGTTGTGAAGGGATTCAATCAGAGAAAGGACGTAGACATTGATGAGATATTCTCTCCTGTTGTAAAGCTGTCTTCGATCCGAGTTGTGCTTGGGATAGTGGCCAGTTTGAATCTTGAGATTGAACAGCTTGATGTGAAGACAGCCTTCTTCCATGGTGATTTGGAAGAAGAGATTTACATGGAGCAACCAGATGGGTTCCAGGAGAAGGGAAAAGAAAAGCTTGTATGTCGTCTCAACAAAAGCTTGTATGGGTTGAAGCCAGCTCCAAGGCAGTGGTACAAGAAGTTTGATGCTTTCATGATAGGGCAGGGATACCAAAGGACTACAGCCAATCAATGTGTGTTTTTGAAGAAATTCTCTGATGGTGATTTTATAATTCTTTTGCTTTATGTCGATGATATATTGATTGTTGGTCATGATACTGCAAAGATTACAAGGTTGAAAAAGAAATTGAATAAGTCCTTTGCGATGAAGGATTTGGGTCTGTTTAGACAGATCATTGGGATGAAGATTTCTCGTGACAGACAGAATGGGAAGCTTTGGGTATCTCAAGAGAAGTATATCAAGAAGGTTCTTGGTAGGTTTAACATGAGCGGTGCTAAGGAAGTCTCGACTCCACTTGCGGGCCATTTTAAGCTAAGCAAAATGCAATGTCCTAAAAGCGAGAAAGATAAGAAAGAGATGGAAAAGGTTCCTTATGCTTCGACAGTTGGCAATCTGATATATGCGATGGTTTGCACAAGGCCAGACATAGCTCATGCAGTTGGTGTTGTTAGTCTGTTTCTCTCCAATCCTGGTAAGGAGCATTGGAATGTTGTGAAATGGATTCTCAGGTATCTTAGGGGTACTTCCAGATTGAGTCTTTGCTTTGGCAATGGGAAGACCATGTTAGATGGATATACAGATGCTGACATGGCCGGTGACCTTGATGGTCGGAAGTCTACTTTTGGATACTTGATGACTTATGGAGGGGGAGCAGTTTCATGGCAGAGTAGGATGCAGAAGTGTGTTGCTTTGTCTAGTATAGAGGCAGAGTTTATCGCATCTATTGAATTTTATAAGAAAGCACTTTGGTTGCAGAAGTTTCTACAAGAGCTTGGCATGAAGCAAGAGAGGTATGTGGTGTATTGTGATAGCCAGAGCGCTATTCACTTGGCAAAAAATTCCACATTTCATTCGCGGTCTAAACATATTGATGTGAGATATCATTGGATTCGGGATGTCTTGGAGTCCAAGGCATTGTTTCTTGAGAAGATTCATACGGATGAAAATGGTGCCCATATGTTGACGAAGACTGTAAGTAGACACCAGCTCCTATTTTGCAGTCAGGAAGCCGGTTTGGTTTTGCCCCCCAATTGAGGTGAAGGGGAGATTGTTGGACTGGTTGTTCCCCTCAATTGGGCCAGCAACAACAAGGAAAATAAAACCAAGCCTAACTAGACTTCGGTTTTGGAGTGTTTGACCAAGAAAAGAAAACCTACTTCTATTGGGTTTTGGGTTTTGTTTTTGATGGCTATAAAAGCAAGGATTTGTGCACAATTTGTGCATGTTTTTCAGCCGAGAGGGAAGGAAAATTAGGGCAGCCGTGCAAGGATTTTGTGCGAGAGAAAAAGAAAGAAAGCTAGGGTTTAGTTTTCTGTTTAACTCTATTTTGGTTAGATCCTTCCAGTCCTACTTTGTGATAGGTGTGTGTGTGAAAGATTATTATTGTAATCCACCTTTGGGTAAAGTTTTGTGTATCCACCAGTTGGTGAAGACTGTTTCCCATTACTGTGATAGTGGAGATTTGACTGTTGTTACAGTCCCGTGGTTTTTCCCGATTTGGGTTTTCCACGTAAATTCGTGTGCCTCCTTTATTTCATCAGTTCTTGAATTATTTTGCTTGTTTGGTTGCCCTATTTTATTGGTAGTAAGAAAGGATATTTTCTTGGGGTTCGCTTTCGCATTTTAGGTTCCTGCCTCCGTGTATTTTCTGCTAAGAAAGATATTAGGGTAAGGTGCTTTAATTAGGTGATGCTATCATGTCATTGATTGGACCAAGTTGGCTTATAGTAGAAATGAAAAATTGCTAATATAAAATCATATTTGTTTTACGGAGAAAAATCTCTCCTACCACAGGGAAAGGATTTAGACTCAAATCCTGTTCAATTTGCCTATTTCCTTGGCGATTACTTTGTTTGTTACACTTTTTAAAGAATAAATAGGCACGCACAAAATTTAATTTTTTGGAATTTAATAATAACAGTTGTTCACATATAAGAAAGAAAAGGAAAAATATTTGGACGCACTGATATTTACACATGAATAACTCTACGTTACTCTTTCCAGAAGTGAAGTTTATCATTTGTCTTAAAAATTCTCATCTGCAATTATGATGGTCACTCTTAATAAATATATGATCTTGTGACGGTTACTTTTATTTTTTAAAATAACACAACAATTTATGTGAATTCTTTTCACATTGATTATTTCGTGTAACATTTTGGATACTCGCTTGCAATACTAATTCACTACATCATCGATTTTGTTTATATTTTAAATGTTTCATTTTGCAAAAATCTTCAAAGCATTTCATGTAACAATTTCTACACACTTGCCGTGCAACGCACGGGTACCATACTAGTACAATTTAATAGCAAATTTATGGATTTTCCTACAAATCATGCAAGGCTCCGTGGAAAATTTCGGGATTAATAACTCTTCCCTAATCTAATTCGAAAAACAGAGTATGTATCTTGTATACCTAGGAGTACCATGCACCCCATCCTATTTTTTGCACTAGTAATCCTTATTGTAGATTTCATCAATCTTTTTATAATTTCTAGGTTTAGTCCCTGTGACTTTTTTCTCTCTCCTTTAAAAAATATCTCTAATCTTTAAATGAACATATCTCTTAATCTGTGAATAATTAGAAAACGTATTACACATGAATTTTATTATATTCATCGAGATCTATCCAACAAGATCTATATGAAATATTTCTTCCGGACTTAAATATGACTAAATTTCAATGGACAGAAATAAGGTGGATTGGATATCCAGTTTTTCAAGATGGATAACCAACTTAGATTGGTTATCCATTGTGTTCATACTGATTATCCAACCAGTTTGAACTATTTTATTTTGTTTGTACTGGTTATCCATATGATTATTTTGTACTTGTAATCCAACGGGTTTGTAGTTGGGTTTGTATGCATATCCAACTTGTTTGTCCTGGATATCCATCCATTTGATTTCTATGCCTATCCAACTTAGGTGTACTGGTTATCCAATGGATTTATATGCCTATCCAGATTGTTTGTGCTGGTTATGTAATCGTTTTTTTTTTGTTTGAAAAAAAGTCATTGTCCAATACACTAATACTGGTTATCCATTTTGTTTATGCCACTTATCCAATCTTTTTTTTTCTCTTTGAAACACGGTAATCCAATATGTTCGTAATGATTATCCAATTGATTCGTATTGGTTATCCAATTACTTTTACTGCTTGTCCAAATATGTTTGTATTACTTGTCCAATCATTTTTTTTTTGAGAAGATGCTTGTTCAATTAATGTGTTCGTATGGATTATCCAATTCCGTACTATTGTTTCTCCAACTATTATTTTTATTATGTTTATGAAAATACTTGTACAATGTGTTTGTACTTGCTATCCAATTAATTGGTACTGCTTATCCAACCTAATTGTTTTCTCTTAAAATGGTTATCCATTGTGTTCATACTCATTATCCGACCGGTTTGAACTAGTTATCCATTTCGTTTCTACTGGTTATCCAATTTTTTTAATAGAAAATTATCGCCCAATGTGTTAATACTTATTATCCAATTAATTAGTATTGCTTATCCAGCGTAGTTTTTCTTTTTATTATTTTTTTGAATAAAAAAAGGTTGTACAACACGTTCTTAGTGATTATCCAACTGTTTAGTATAGATCATCCGACCTTTTTTTCATCTAGTCTTTGCGAAAATCCTTGTCCATTTTTTTGTACTAACTATCCAACTGTTTTGTATTGGTTATCCAATCATTTTCACTGGTTATCCAAACAGAGTTTCTTTTCATTTTATTTTTCTTTTGAAAAAATATATCCAATGTGTTCATACAGATTATCCAACTTCTTGGTGATGGTTATCCAACCTTTTTTTCTCTTGCTTTTTTTATGAAAATGATTGTCCAATTTTTGTACTGATTATCCAACCAGTTTGTACTGCTTATCCAATTATTTTCAATGGTTATCCAAGTGGTTTATAATGGTTATCCAAATATTTTATTCCTTTCTTTCTTTTTTTCTTTTTTTTTTGAGTGAAAGTCAAAAATATTATTGGATAACCATTACAAACGAAATAGATAATCAGCTCAAAACGGTTGGATAATCAGAAACGACACAATGGATAACTATTTTTCAATTTGTTCATTTCTGCCGTAAAATTTAAATGCATTTAAAACTCAAAAAAAAATTCAACATTGATCTTATCGCATAGATCTCGTCGAGCACTATAAATTTCATACATAATTCATGTTCTAATTCTTCACGGATCAAAAGATATATGTAATACAAGAATCTTAATATAAAATAACTTGGTTATCTATCTTTTTAAACTGGATGCCCATCCAAATGATGGTACAAAATTTATTTGTTTCTGTCCACCAAATTTTAGTCATTTTTAAGTTGGAAAAAAAAATCGATATGAATCTTGTTGGATAGATCTCGACGCGTACTATAATTTTCATGTATAACACGTTCTCTAATTCTTTACGGATCATGAGATATGATAATTTAAAGATTAGAGATATTTTTTGGAAGAGAAATAAAAAAAAGTAACAGGGACTAAATTTGCAAAATATAAGAAGAGTTGAGAAAAAAAGTACATAAGAACTAGTAGTACAAAAATAGAAATGAGTGCAAAAGCTTCCAGGTATACTGGAAGAATTGATCGAAAGACAGATGTATACGTATATTTATTTATTATTTATTTCTCTATTTATTGGTTCCCGTGTCAATTTCTTCTTCTATAAATACAGGCACGTTAGCAGAAAAAGAAAAAAGTTCTCCAAGCTTAGGGTTTATTGAAGCTAAAGCGGCAGCCATCAAGGTGAGTTCGGGCAACTTATGCTTTTCGATTATTCGTAGTAGACTGTTTGATTAATTAATAGAAGGGTAGTATTATTGTGTAGTTTAATCTGATGCCTTCTTTTTTAATTCACAGCACTTTTAATCGAAAGACAGATGTATACGTATATTTATTTATTATTTATTTCTCTATTTATTGGTTCCCGTGTCAATTTCTTCTTCTATAAATACAGGCACGTTAGCAGAAAAAGAAAAAAGTTCTCCAAGCCTAGGGTTTATTGAAGCTAAAGCGGCAGCCATCAAGGTGAGTTCGGGCAACTTATGCTTTCGATTATTCGTAGTAGACAGTTTGATTAATTAATTGAAGGATAGTATTATTGTATAGTTTAATCTGATGCCTTCTTTTTTAATTCAGAGCACTTTTAGCTCTTCTTCTTTGATTCTTTTGTTTGTAATTGGTATTTCTCGTTTGCAATTAGGGTACATGATTCCGTAGACCTTAGGAGAAGTTTCTAACATGAAGTTTTTGATGAATTTAAAACGTTTTCTAATCAGGGTACTTTTTAGGTCAAACTTACGTTCCTTTATTTTCCAGTGTAATTAGGGTTTTTTTCAAGTCTAATTAGGTCAAACGTTTTCATATTATTTCATTCAGAATCTTATTCGTAGCTACTTTCGAAGCAGAAACCATGTCGTCGGATGGGGAGCATCAGTTTGAACCAAAGGCTGATTCCGGAGCTTCGAAGACTTTCCCAAGTCAGGCCGGTTTAATCCGCAAGGGTGGCTACATTGTCATCAAGAACAGGCCTTGTAAGGTCGTCGAAGTGTCAACTTCGAAAACCGGAAAGCACGGCCACGCCAAATGTCACTTCGTCGCCATTGATATCTTCAACGGGAAGAAGCTTGAGGATATTGTTCCTTCTTCCCACAACTGCGATGTTCCCCATGTCGACCGTACTGACTACCAGCTCATTGATATCTCCGAGGACGGATTTGTCAGCCTTCTCACCGACAGTGGCGACACCAAGGATGACCTTAGGCTTCCGACGGATGAAGTTCTTCTGAAGCAGATCCAAGATGGGTTTAAAGAGGGAAAAGACTTGATTGTTTCTGTGATGACTGCCATGGCAGAGGAGCAAATATGTGGCCTCAAGGATATTGGTTCCAACAAGTAATAGTTTCCCTCTAAAATCGATCGCCCTTGGCGGGATTCGATCTTTTAAGTATTTTGTTTTTGGGGAGTGAAAGTTTTGTGAGTGGAGGATGATGAAACTAGATAGATTTAACTAGATTATATGGTTTTGGGGCTAGCCAAAAACCAGTTTGCTTTGTTGTGTTTTGTTACTTCGCTTTTCTGTTACTCTCTGGGTTACATTTGTGGGTATACTGGCGACAAATTGTTAAACCCTTTGCCCTTTATTAAGTTATTATTGCATTAAGTTTAGTTGTTCGTTGATGAATGATTTCTTCTCAAATTCTTGAAAAATGGTGCTCATTTCATATTGTACTATGTATTATAATTATTATTCCCTTCGTTCCAAAATCATTATTCAGCTTGAGTTTTCATCTTTAATACAAATTAAATTAGAAATAAAATTTCAAACTGAACAATATTTTAGAGACAAGAGAGTATAACTTAAGTATACAAACGCACAGGCTTCCTGAGTATACAAACTTAAATAAAAAGGCAGAAAAAAATTCATGTACAATAATTTTCTGCAAATTAAAGACTCAAATAGTTTCCAACACAAAGGAAAAATAAAACTTGGATGAGTTTACTTACAGTTGCAGTTTACAATTTTCTTTTCTCTCCCACTTACGCACTACAAGCTAAAAAATAATAATAACTTTTCTTCTATCCTGCATACACATAAGAAGCCTCAAAAAAAATCAAAAAGCAAGAACAATGATTCAGTTTCACATACTATATTTGAAAAGAATCAATTTTTCGGTTGGAAAAATACTGATACAATTTCAGAAGTCCTTTTACACTAATGCGCAACATTTCTTGTATAACACAACACAACCTAAAATTAATTAAGAAATTCACTATTGATACTAACATCAATATAATTGGAATATGTGGTAGTTATGTTTTCAGGTTCACTCTCACCAGAACACTAATCACAACTTTAGCATCACTCAAAATTAAAATCTGATTATAATCTGCTATAATAATTGATCCTTGGTAGAAACAGAGATGACACCATTTTTCATTGGCAGTTTCTCTTTTCATTCCAGCTATTAGCTTCTCCAAATCTCCGAAGGCCGACCAACTCAAGTGCAATAAACCAAGAGAACAATCCTCAAGTTTCTCTAGCAAAGGTTGGTCAGAACCCCCATGGTTTTGCAATAAGTTTCAACATTCATCCCGACGAAACAAGAGTCTCAAACCTGGAAATTTTCCTTCTTGGCCGACTTGCCTTCTGCACCATTAGTACAGTATGAGTATACACATCGGTTTCCAGCCGTTCTGCACCATTTCCTCCAAAATTTTAAAAGCTCACTTAACACGGCCCCTCTTGCACAAGCCATTAACGAGGCAAGAAAAATTTCCCACATTTGGCACGAAACCTTTATCACAAGCTTGCTAAATGTCCAAAGTGCCCTATTTCCTCAATCTGCTTCACAAAATGCATCCATAACTGTACACGTTAAACTATCTAAAAGATATCTCCTTTCTAGAATTGGGACTAACCAAATATCAGCTTCCGTGACTCTCTTCAATCTGAAATAACCAACACTCATCAGACTTGAAACTACAAGCTACGGAAGAAACCGCTCACCGACACTTTTCATCAAACACATTTTCAGCCAGATCAAGCCGACTTTCATCTACAGCAGCATTTTAAGCACAATTCCAAGCATGAACAGTGAGAACCAAGCCTAGATTTTGCATCTCAAAAACCATGTCCATAGCCTCCTTCAACATGCGTTCCTCACCACAGTTTCTCAACATACAATGCATCACCTCATTTGCCCTCCCTGAGTTTTCTTTTTTCATAAAGCACTTTACCAGAACAAGATAAAATCTCATGAAGGCCCTGAATTTTGGGAACTTATTAGCCCAGTATATGGAACCCCGTGCCACAAAAGAGCCCTCCGTATTAGCCAAAGTTGCAGCCACAGGTACGGCAATTCTGGAGTCAATAAGTGTCAACTTTCAATAGCAAGTTAAGATTAAACGATACTGGCCCGAAACTGAAATGGATTATTTGTTGCTGTGAACTGAGTTTGACTTTTGGGGGAACATTGGCAAAAGGGTCTTACAAAGTGAAAAGTGAAATAACATCGATACTTTCACCAGGCTCAACATCATCATGTGCACCAGAGCTTATGAAGTCACAAAAGCAACAAACACCAAAGCTAAGAAGCAGGAGAAGAGAATCCTGTACAGGTTTTAGCATTCACTTATTGGTAATGGTTGTTAGTAACTAAACTTAATTTGGTCCAATTAATATTGGGTTATCCAAATTATTAACTTGGACCATGAATCTTTATGTTTAATCCTAAGCCCAAGTCCAATGAAGAATTGTCTAGATAAGAAGATATCTAGAAGTAGAAAGTTCTAGAAATGTTCTACATAAATATCAAGAGTATATAATTCATAGAAAATATCTAGAAGAAATATTTAGATATTAGTAAGGAAAAGTCTAGAAGGAGTAGAAAAATCTTGAAAGAGTGTAGAACCTTCCATGTACTCCTATAAATAGGAGTTAACCCCCTAATGTAAGTGTGTGTAGAGAAGTTGCATAAGTTATTAAGCTAAAAGCTTAATACAATCCTTTCCACTTTGTTCCTTTTATTACAAAGTAGTGAACCTCCCTTTCTCCCAAAATTTCCTTCTCTTTCATTTCCACTTCCTAAACCTATAACCTAAAAGATCTCTTCCTCATAACCCATAGGGTTCTTTTGCTAACAAACTGGTATCAGAGCTGGTGTTGGTCCAGCTTTGAAGTAAGATGGCAAATGGAATGATCTCTTTCCAATTCCCTCAACTTACCAAAAAAAACTATGGTAAGTGGTTCATTCAAATGAAGGTGATCTTAGGCTCTTATGAGGTTTGGGAGATTGTTGAGAAAGGTTATGAGAAACCTCTAGATGAGGCTTCTTTGACTCCTGCTCAAAAGGGAGAACTCAACAAAGCAAGGAGAAAGGATCAACAAGCTCTTTCACTTATCCATCAATGTCTAGATGATTCCATGTTCGAGAAGGTGGCAAATGCTTCTACATTAAAGGAGGCTTGGGATATTCTAGAGAATGCTAATAGAGGCATTGAGAAGGTGAAAAAGGTACGTCTTCAAACTCTTAGAGGAGAATTTGAAGCTTTACAAATGGAGGAGTTCGAATCTGTTTCAGATTATTGTTTTCGTGTATTGAAAGTGTCAAATGAGATGAAGAGGAATGGAGAAAGCTTGAGTGACACAAGAGTGATAGAAAAAATTCTTCGCTCTTTGACACCAAGCTTTGATTATATTGTGGTAGCGATAGAGGAGTCAAAAGATCTTGACTCTATGACCATTGATCAACTCATGGGTACTTTAGTAGCCCATGAAGAGAAACTAAAGAAGAGAAGGCCCAAAGAATCTTTGGAGCAAGCTCTCTACACAAAACTCTCTTTCAAAGAAAGAGATGGAGGCTTTGGAGGTGGCAGAGGCCTTGGACGAGGCAATGGTGGATTTCAAGGATGTGGACGAGGAAGGGTTCGAGGTGGCTACGTTCAATCCACCAAGGATGACAATAACAAAGGTTCTCAATCTACAAGAGGTCGTGGAAGAGGTATGAAGTTTCAGAAAGGAGGTAAATCTCGAATCCAATGCTTTAATTGCCAAGAATATGGTCACTATGCAAGTGAGTGTAGGAATTCTAGTCAAGTAAAAGAGAAAGCCAATCTTATGGAGGTTAAAGATGAAGTTCAACTCATTCTCTTAATGGCAAGACACGAGGACGAAGGAGGGAAGAAGACGTGGTATCTTGACTCCGCTGCGAGTAACCACATGACTGGGGGAAAAAGGTTGTTCGAAGACATGGAACCAGCCAAAGGGTACGTGATGTTTGGAGATGATTCTAGAGCAAGGGTTGAAGGCAAAGGTAAGATATGAATCCTTGCAAAAGATGGAAGTCACCAATACATCTCAGAAGTTTATTATGTTCCAAGTCTTAAGAGTAATATCTTGAGCTTGGGACAACTTCTGGAGAAAAATTACGATATTCATTTGAAAGATCGTAGTGTCATAGTTAAGGATCCAGAAGGAAAATTGATTACCATTGTGCCAATGACAAGCAATAGAATGTTCTTGTTGAACATTCAAATGAGAATTGCATGAAAGCATGCTTGAAGGATGATTCGTGGATTTGGCACATGAGGTATGGTCATTTAAATTTTGGTGACTTGAAAATGTTATCTGCCAAATGCATGGTGAAAGGAATACCTCCTATCAATCAGCCCAATCAAGTATGTGAAGGATGCTAACTTGGGAAGCATTCAAGGAGTGCTTTCCCAAAAGAAGCAACATCAAGAGCTAAGGAGCCTTTAGAACTCATCCATACAGACTTGTGTGGTCCTATCTCTCCGCCATCCCATGGTAATAACACCTACTTCATTCTATTTATTGATGATTTCTCTCGAAAGACTTGGGTGTATTTTTTGAAGGAGAAATCACAAGTCTTTGATGCCTTTAAGACATTTAAGGTTGTGGTGGAGAAGGAGAAAGGCTTGAAAATCAAAGCCTTAAAGTCTGATAGAGGTGGAGAATTCACATCAAGTGAATTTACCAAATTCTGTGAAGAACATGGGATTAGACGATTCCTTACTGCTCCTTACTCTCCGCAACAAAACAGAGTTGCTGAAAGGAAGAATAGAACCGTTCTCAATATGGTTCGTAGCATGCTAAAGAGCAAGAAAATGCCAAAGGAGTTATGGGTTGAAGCAGTTGATTGTGCAGTATACCTACTAAATCGATGTCCCACGAAGAGTCTAGAAGACAAGACTCCACAAGAAGCATAGAGTGGGACAAAGCCCACAGTAAATCACCTATGAGTATTTGGGAGTATAGCATATACCAAGCCAAAAGCGGTCCAAACTTGATGATCGAAGCGAGAAGCATGTCTTTGTTGGCTATGACAAATAGTCAAAAGGTTATAAGCTCTACAATCCAGTCACGAACAAAGTTATTGTGAGTAGAGATGTAGAGTTTGATGAAAAAGAAACCTGGGAATGGAATATTGAAGGTGGCGAAAGCTACAACTTCCTTCCTGTCATCCATGAATACGATGATGACAGTAGTGATGCAGGTGAAGATACTCAACAACCTCAAAGTCCACGTTCACCTTTGAATGAAGAGTCACAAAGGACGAGAAGCCTACAAGAGATCTATGAGGAAACAGAACGCATAGAGGCTCTCAC